ACGTACGCGATCACTCCTACGTACCCTTTTTTAGAAAAAAATAAATGTTTCCTGTGTTTACACATAGAATGTTGTCTCATTATGAAACCCGTCGAACAAAACGGTTTTGCATTACACATACACATACCCCAGGACTATAAGATACAATCTGGAGAATTTATATCTATAACTCCATGCATGACATAAGCTCTATTAATTTGAAGTTTCTCGAAAAATAACAATACACAGGAAAAATATAGAGGTACACACAATTCATGTCATTTGTCTAGCTCATTAACGGACATATTTCGAAATCAGAGTGGGTAAATGTAAGCAAATTTGTAAATAATAAAAATAAAAATTTAAATAAAAAACGAAGTGGATTGAATAACATATAATTTGATGTTTGACTATACAAATGATACAAATCAAAGTTATTTCATATTAAAAAAGTCGTTGATCAACATTATTTACTTGGACATATTTTAAATTAAAAAAAAAAGGTTCGTTTGTTGATATGTTCATACGTGTTTCTCGTTTTTTATACAGATTAGACCGTTGGTTTTCCTGTTTGAATGGTTTTAAACTAGTCATTTTGGGGCCCTTTAAAGCTTGCTGTTCTATGTGAGCCAAGACTGAATTGATTTATAATCTTCCCTGAACTTGGAATGAGTATTTTATTAATTGTGATATCATTTACCATAACGTTATTTATCTAGATCTTGTTGGTGTTTTTATAACGATACCACATATATGCAATGTATTACTTTCATAAAAAAAGGTCCTAAATCATCTTATAAGGTATGTTATCTGGGAGCATATATATAAATATATAGTGTATTCTCATAAAACAATACAGATACAAAGGTTACAGAGAATTTAAAATCATGAATACAAAATATTGGATGTGAAAAAATATATTAGAAATAAAATTTTTAAACAGGCAAAAAGAGATGAACATGATGACTAAATAAAAATATTTGAAGTTAAATAAAGTAAATAAACATGTTTAAAGAAATAGTTTTAGTGTTTAAATATGTTGAAATTAAGGTTGAGGAGAAGTAGAACTTTCACCGTGTATATATGTTTTATGAAATTGCAAAACGGTCTGAGTGTCTTTTGTTATTTAGAGTTAAACAGTGACTTGAATTCAAAACATTCTGTCTGGTTAATAGTTCGTTTGGTATCAATCTTTTCTTTTCATCTTGTAAAGCCAGTCAGACTAAAATATAGAGATATTCGTCTACGATATCTCCATTCTGGCATATAGAACTCTTTCTTTGACTTCTGTTAATATGATACCACCCCCTTCTCTATTTGAAGTGAACGATTTGAAGTTCGGAATTGGAAAGTGTATAGCTTAAAGCCTCTTCCGAACATATGAAAGTCCCTACTATGTCATGCATGTACTGGTTACCTAAATTGAAAAAAGAACAATTTAAATTCCGTTTCATCTCCGCATCTAGTTAGTGGTCTACTACTAATCTATCAGAGCTTCTTACTATCTCCCTTACTACTATCAAAGAACTTGTTATTAACTTTTGTAATAAAGCTTATGAAAATAATAGTGTTAATTAATTTTGGAGTGTTAAAAAAATTCTTTAGAGGTTTTAGATAAAATACATGCTTTTGATGGTCCTTTTAATTCTGTTGACAGTTATGAGTTTTCTACTTATAATGTTTTACTTTTATAAATTTTGACTTGGATGGAGAGTTGACTCACTGGCACTCATACCACATCTTCTTATATCTATATATATATATTTCTCAGTCATTGTTAATACTGAATTAAATTTCTAATTCCACCTTTTCCTTGGAAAGACTGTACGTGATGCATTTATGAGTGTTCTGGATAGGCGTGTTTTACATTTGTTTAAACTGGCCAATCAATCGAAGTTTGAGACTTATCGAAAACAATTTTGTGAGGTCAGTATTTTGCATACGAAGAAGGCATTACAATATAATTTGTCATACATCATATTATCTATATTATCCGTTAATAAAAAGAATAACGATGATATCATACAATTAGGTAATTAAAATTCATGACGGTTTGTTTTATGGAAACCGATCTGAATGTTCCATATAACCCATCAAAATCCACACGTGCACAAGATATATTTTTATTCATATTTTACTATCGGTTTGATAATCTTAGATTTTGTAATATTTATTATGCTTTTAAGAAATATTTGAACTTCTAACGTATAAGAACAATGTAGTTATGAATTTTAGACCTCCCTTGTAAATAGGAAAGGGGCAACCAAATCTTGATACAATAGACACACCGATAAAATATTTTATCAAAGCCTGAACGTATTCCTATGACTGAATCTACGTCTTTCTTAAAAGTTGCATACCTCTACCTTAAATGGGTTTCTGATTGATTGATTTAACCAGCCGATATATTTCTTTTTTAGATAATGATGAAGATCGCCTTTATTGGATGGAATTCAACAGTGGTTTTTTGAAATCATCAACACTAAATGGAAGCAGTGTTATAACGGTTTTCAACACAAATACAACAAATAAAAACCAAGATATTCATGTTTACAGAGGAAACGTGTACTGTGCAAATGGTAATTCTATACTTAATGTGACAGTTACACCAGATGTGTCAGCGGATGTCATTTACCATGATACAGGAATAATCTATAGTGTATTCATTTATGATGAAAACCATGAAAAACGTACATATACTTAATATATTCGATACCCTAACTATTTGAAAAGATATTATAAAAAGTATTTTAAGTAATAGAAAGAAAACATTTAAAACATGTTTCGTTTTTTTTTTTCAATTATAAGTTGACTGCAAGTTGAATAGATTTAAATAATTCAATGCATTTAATGATATCATACATTTTAAATAAACGACTACGGATTATCTCATTGAAGTAGATTACGTTATACATTTTCTTATTGTTATGCTTTATCAATGTGTTTTACCAATAATAAGTTATTATGTTCATTTTGTTTGATATTCAGTAGAAATATATTACCTTACTACAATTATGCTTTCACATTCTATATTTTTTTTCTCATTTATGTAAATATGTGTACTAACTAGCTGATTTCATCCATGCAGTTAATTTCACTAAATACGTACATTTATGAAAAATCTAGCTATAAACATAATAGTTAAAACTCATACTAATCTTTTGTTTATTTAACTGCGCTAGTTACCAGTATTTATAGAAATGACATGTCTAACAATATCAAAAAGGTTACGTGATTACTTAACACAATTTCCGTATATTATCCTACATTTTGAACTTAGCCACTCTGATCTTCTATAAACAGGTACTTGATCTAGCAAACAACACTCGAAAATTGATCACTGTCTACGAATGAGCAAATGTTCAATGAAATAATTAAAACCAGGTATAAATATGCTATAAGACGACAGTCTTAAAGGACAAATCGTATTATAAAAAGAGCTGCTGTACTCCTTGCATTAACTGTGATACGTTATCATTGCTAAAACAAGAGCTGCTTTCGGATAGAAATCGACCTTATGCAAATGAATATCAATACATTTGTTAACCTATTAAAAACTCTCTATGCAAAGTCTGTGACTGTTTGAAAATTGAGTTGTTATAAGACTCCTAAAAAATACAGATTAAAACGCATCATTAATTATGTATTCGAATGTTCCAAAATCAATCAAAGTCATATACATGTACATGTTTACGTGCACTTGCAGAAGGTCGATTCCTATCCGACGCAGGTCACATATTATTGCTGTATTGTATTCCTTCGCATTAACCTTATTGGTTTGTAATTATAAGAATTATGCCTTCGTAACAAAATTTTTATTCCTGATATTTTGTGTGTTGTATAACATTTATTTTTATGAAAAATAACATTCATGCAAAATAGTTTTATGACAAATACAGTGTTAATGTTTCATGAAAGAACATGTTGACACTTATAAAACTCATCATAGATACCAGGATGAACATTTTGTACGGCAGACGCGCGTTTCGTCTATAAAAGACTCAACAGTGGGGCTCGAATAGAAAAGAATAAAAAGGCCAAATAAAGTTTGAAGTTTGAACGGATGATGTATGTTTTCTATAAATGGTAGAGTTATTCTATTAAAGTGTTTTCTTAGTTTCCTTTACTTTAGATAATGTGTGTTAATATTTAACCAGTTATCATATATTTGAACGGCTGTATGTTTACTAACTGCCAATGTTGAGTAGGATTTTTTCTATCTTAAACAAATTTTTAATTCTGCACAAATGCCTATGACAAGTAAGAAAACATTATCTATGCAGATACACTCCAAACGGACAATACGTCAAGGAACAAAGCGTTCCATACTGTGCATGCATTAACTGTCATATGCAGGCGAATCTATTTTCAATCAAAATACGACGCTAGGTCTCCATATCATACGACTGTTGATGTACCTAAGACTAGTAAATTAGATTTAGTGAGTTGAAAAAGATGAAAGATTATATAGTGTTTCACATCAACTTTCCCCTATTGAACAATGGTGAAAAAACAGATTTAAGGAAACTATATTTGATCTGAACAGCACTTTACAGAACGAGCAATAAACAATACGTCATTTAAAGTCTTACATTAAAATTTCAGACCCGTCGTCCGCTACAAACTTAGAACTATTCATACAATTTGTGGCAGCTAGGCAATACTATTCTGTTTTGTCAATGGTCAGTCTGTTTTTATCTGTAAAAACACAACATTATATTCAATTATCTCATCGAGATTGAACAAATGCAAAAATTTTGAACAGTAATGAATGAACAAACAAACAAAAACTTCCAGAACAAGACTCCAGTTCTGTTGAGATCGAAATGGTCATTTAAGATTTAAATTCACTTAATAAGGAATATCCTTTTAATGTAGTTATTTAAATACATACCATAGAACATGACAATAAACTGTTAAAAAAGAGCAGTGTTCCGATGAATGTGTCTTCAATATTCGACATTGTAAACCTTGGTGCAATTATATACATAAATGCTGATTTAATTTGATTGTAATTTATAGGATGGACACCATTGGACAGTATATCAGTAATGTCTTACTTAAAGTAAACTAAATGATTATGATACAAAACTAGGCATGCAGTATTAAAAAGGAATGCGTGGTACATCTTTGATCAACTGAAAATGGATATCTAAAATGGAAACAAAGGTGAGTTAAACGGTTGTACTCTTCACACGCAATAAACATATTTTGGAATAAATTTTGTTGGAGGCTATAATTAAAAACAAATATTGATAAGTTTTGTCATTATTGGTACCATGTCACTGAGCTCAATGAAGAGTTTGTTTGTCTAAATATCATCATCTTTGACAGAATATGCGCAAAAAGACTATAAAAGAAGAGACAAAACTTGTATGTTACTTTTTGCCATCGAATTATAATGACTGTATGTTTAACAATGTCCATACAATTTCAGGTTACGCTTTTATCAGTCTGGTGTACTCGTATTTAAAAAAACAGATGACATAGGATGGTCTTAAAAACCCTTTTCAGTCATAAACATGATATAGCTCCAGGAATATATTAATTACTAGCTGTCATCGTTTCGTGTAGGGCATTCCTGATCAAGGTAAATGCACAACAAAGCGTCAGATGCATCAAATGTATTTGGTTGTATTTCAATTTATCTGTGAACACTGATAAAGTTGAATGATTAATTACTTCCAATGAACTTCCTAATTATGATTTGAAGGTCTAACACATCTAATTCCTTAACTACAAAAGAAAGATTAAAGCTTTCATACAAATCATGCAAATGAGACTGAAATTTTCGTCAAATAAAGATACGGGGAAAAAGACCACGAAAACACCATGTGGATACGGTAATATAATGCACAAAGTTTTGGTGTTTTAATAAATTATCGTGTTTTTTGAAAATGTAAAAATTCTAACAAATAGTCACATAGTAGTGTTCGACGTATGAAAAAAGTGTCATTCATTGAAAAAAAAACAGTCGTTTTAACTTCCAAAAAGTGTATTTTGCATGTTTAATGTTTAAAGTTTGAATATCCCTTTGGTATTGTTTGCCTCTCTTATAATTTTTAGTGCATAATGTAGTCTTCAGTTAAGTTTAATTCATATAATTATTTTTGGAAAACCCATATAATTCAATGTTAATTATGACATTTATGACTGGTCATAATATATAAAAATGCAATACATTCACCTAATTTAGATATTCGCACCTAAGACACTTGTATTCACAAAACACCATGTACCATCTTGAGGTAAATATAGATAATATTATCATACAGAAGTCGTCTTAATGAACAGTCAATAAATCAGTTCTTTTTTTCAGTATTAATGTTTGTCGCCAAACCAGCAAGTAAACTGGAGACAAATGCAGTACTTTTAAATTTAGTCGAGTTTTATGTTTTGGAATTATTTGGATATATAAAGGACATATATTTACCAAATGAATTTGTTAATTTTATAATTCAGAACAAAGTCCGCAATAAAGGATGGAGCTGCTGTTTTTTTTTTCTGTTGGTTGTGGAGCAGATGTCAAAGAAAATGCGTCAAGAGAAAAAAATCTTCGGAAAAGAAGCAGCTAACATAAAGTTAAAATTGGAGATCAGCTGAGAACGCAAGACTTAAAAACGATAAATGTTACAAATAAAATAGCATGTTTTTCTTTTAGATATATTTCATTAAACAATATGTTTATACTTTTTTTCTTGCAGATATACTCGCAAACAATACCAATTTCAAAACAATGTGTTTTGTCTGATCCTTTGTCATACATACTGCTACTACGGTTAGAGGATCTAAGTGTTTTTGTAATAGCAGGCTGGTTCCATGTTTCAAGTGAAGAATTTTGTCGGTAGTGTCATACCACATTCGAAAGACTGACAGGTTACGAAATCATCCCTTAGTAAATTTTACGGACGCCATCACGAGTTGGTTGACCGTTATGGAATAACCGTTTCACAGATGATATCGGATATGTTCCTTATGTCGTAACTACAATACCCTCCCTTTTCACGAATGTGACCTACTGAATTAGACTATTTACCGGATTTGCAATAACATAAGCAACACGACGGGTGCCACATGTGGAGCAGGATCTGCTTACCCTTCCGGAGCACCTGAGATCACCCCCAGTGTTTGGTTGGGTTCGTGTTGCTTAGTCTTTAGTTTTCTATGTTGTGTCATCTGTACTGTTATTTGTCTGTTTGTCTTTTTATTTTTGACCATGGCGTTGTCAGTTTGTTTTCGATCTATGAGTTTGACTGTCCTTCTGGTATCTATCGTCTCTCTTTTATTGCAGTTTGTTGTTTTGTTTCTGTGAAAGAGGCGAAAGGTTAATTTTTACGTATATGATTCGGTGCCAGGATAAACATCAGAAACGTATAGCTACATTTGTACTGAGTCTTTAATGTATTTGATAATAAGCATATTGCAAGTTTTACATTTTGCTGAAATATTGTGCATTGATTGACATCGGTAATCGACATGTATACATGTATATCCGAAGAACAATGCACTGTTTTAGTTACAAGATAGATTAGACACCTCTTGGCTATTTTCTTTGTAACAAAAAAAAATCATCAAGGTCGAAATGTATCTACAGTATAAAGTTTTGAGTTATCCGTAGACGTGTATTGTGTGATTGAATACTCCAAATCACGCAGCTAAGTCCATGCATGCATAGAGCAAAAAACAAGGAGCTGAGATCATGTGAATTGTAGTAAAGATTGAAAGACTTTTAAAATGTTCATGGTGAGGAAAAAAAGGCAACATCTGCCCTGTATCTTTATTTACTACTTTGGATTTAGTGATCGATGTATGGCAAAGTGAGCTGCCTTGTTAAAGATTATGTGTTGCCCTCTAGATGTATTCAGTATATTTGTCAGTTACATGTGTTGTCGTTGGTTCTCTTGCTGCATATGCCATTGTTTGTTCTTCTGTTTTGTTTCGTCTGATTCTTTTGGACGGGGTTTAATTTTATTCTATATTTAAAATAAGTAAGCATGATTTTCAATATATGAACATTCTAAAACTAAGTTTAGTTAAGCAGAATTATGCGAAACCCAGACCATAAAAAATGAATTGAATAAACATTAAATTATATCAACATCATAATGAACATCGACTATAAGATACTCGGACAAAGATATTGACCGAATATTGTTTTTGCAATACATGACGTCACATTTGACGTCGACAGGAAATGTTAAAATATCAAACCTTGATGCGTGAATGTGACGTTTGTTTATATAGTACACACGTTACTATCTTCATCAGTTTTATCTTCATGCAATGCAGTTTATTAATTGAAAAATGTGTTTTCTCCGTTGTCACATGAAGTGTAGAATTATTCTATGCAAATAACACGAATAAATAATGAAAAATTGAACCTCTTCAGCAAAGCTAACAAAACAGACAATTAGATGTGTGTGAAATAATCAATCGTGATGTATCATTTAATAAACACCAAAGACAGAACAGAACAGTCGACTAGGATTATAAAGACAAAAGTTGGAGAATCACTTAGATTAGAAGATGTCATTTATGATCCAAAAAAGTATGTGATTTCCTTATTTATTATCAAATGTAATCGCAAAAATACCAAAACGTCAGAGTATATTCAAAACGTAAAAGTCAGGAAAAACCGGAAAAAAAAGACAATATCATTCTACGTAAAGACAATTGTCATATTTTTGACATGATACAGGGATTTTCTGAGTAAACTGCTGGGGGTAAAACTGATTTATAACTAGCGTAACTTCCCATTTGTATTACAGTTGTATATAGTTTAGTTCCGTTATTTTGACAAAATTGTGTAAGCAACGCACACAAAAAAATACTGGTTAAAATTACAGTAACTGGGATAAATTCATCAAAATGATAAAGTAATATATTGTATTGCATTTGATATACTCGTTGTATTCTATGTGTAAGAAATGAAACGCAGTAACAAAGTTGTCCAGTCCAAAAAGAAGCACACTCGCAGGAACTGAATACAATACATTTAGATGACCACTTCTTTTCGATCTAAATAGTTTCCGTTACCATATTAACCAAGAGGCATACCAACCAGAATATAAAAGTACACTAAATGTACGTAACTGTACGCAAAATTGTGTCTTAGAACGATCAAATGTTAGACTAATGTATGTTAACGTTAGTGTAAAAGTTACTCGATTATACTATATTATCATTTGACTTCATTTATACTAGTAAAAAGAAGAGAACTGTGAGAGTGAAGAAGACATGTATTAAATTATCGCTGAGTTCGCTTCTTACGAAGGCTTTGGTAATTTGTGCCATCGGTCTGTTTGGCTCCCCGTTGACTATTTGATAGATTTACATACCTGTAGATCTGGGCTAATATGCATAAAACCACTTTTGTTAAGATATCCAATCGTAGTACTAATTAATCGTAGGACATGTAGAAAAACGCGTCCGTTCGGAACAAAACTTTACATAAGTAGTTTTATGCATATCAGCCCTGACAAGGAAGCATATTTGTTTTTAATCATAGGTCTATGTTGTCACAAAAACAAAAAGCAGAATCAGCATAACATTTCAGATAATTTAATTCAACTCTATATAATTATATCGAAACAAGATACACAAAGAGCAACATGAAAAAAAAAAAAACCCAAAATATCCTAATATAAAACACCATCATATACTGACACAAACCAGTTCAAGGAATATCCATGATAAAATATACACCAATTAAAACATCGTATAACAGAATTCCTGTCATATCTAACTGTCGCAAGAATCACAGATGAAAGGATAAGCGTACCAAATCACGGTCTGTATCTTATCTAGGGTTTTGAAATTGAATTAAAGTCAGAATAACAAGTCTCGTAATACTTGTGGAATGCCACAATTGCTGAAATATCCACATTATCTTAGCGAAACTATATAACATAAAAGTATAGATTGTATACGTTTATGGCATTTTACATCTAACCAAGAATCCTTTTTTTTGTGTAATTGTTGACACAGCATACGTGCATTAAGTTGTAAAAGCTTATAAAACTAATTTTGATTGTTTATGTGTTTTTTAAAATTAACAGATACAGATCGAAAGTGCATTGATAGAATGGAAAAGAAAATATGGCTCTTTCTTTCTAGAAAAAGCGAGACAATGCTGTGACAACTAAATTCATAAAAGACATTGTCAAAATATTTATAATAATCAAAAAGTTCAGACATTAAACTGGCTTAAAAGATAAGACCGTTGCATGTTAAACTCAAACTATGTATGTGATGGAATATTTTGTCTTCAATTCTTTATAACACATGTTGATATTTCACTCATTTCCTTGTATTGGCGACCAAAATATATCATGCAAAATAAATAAAAATAAATTTGAATCTCAGTTGTCAATTGTTGCATTTCTCCTTTTGGTTTATTTGTTATAATGCAGTAAAATATGTTTAAGCAAGTGTCTTGTTAATATAGACAATATATCAATACAAATGTAGTGTAGTGTGTTTATTGTACATTGTGCAAATTCCGCATCCTACCAATAATATGACAAAAGTGTATCTTTCATCTTGACAGTTGAACATATAGCCAACTGTTAATGAAAAACGTCAATTTAAAAATAAAATAACAAAAATACCGAACTCCAAGGAAAATACAAAACGAGTCCTTATCAAATGGCAAAATCAAAAGCTCAAATACTTAGAACGAATGGAAAACAATTGTTATATTCCTGACTTGGTACAGACAGTTCCTTATGTAGAAAATGGTGAATTAAACCTGGTTTTATAGGTAGCTAAACCTCACATTTGTATGACAGTCGGATAGAATCCAATTATATTGACACCAATGTGTGAGCAAAACAAACTGACAGAATAGGTAAAGTCAATATTGAATTATTATCTTAATCACTGTAAAAACAAATGACTACATGTATTTCAACAAAGAAATACAAAATGGCATAGAAACACTCCATAGACAAAGTATATAAGCAAAATAGATAGACAAGAATACAAAAATGACCATAGCACACTAACACAATGGCAGGATGTATAAATACCGAGCCATGCCAAAAGTATATTACAAAAAATGAACTAAACAGTAAAGTAAAAATATAGAAAGACAAAGAAATAGAACAATATAAAACGTATGTAAGATGATAAACAATGTCAGTTCCTAGAATCTATACTTCAAAGCCATTATGTATTATTTGTGAAGTTGATACGGAATATTTATCAACAAGGTTTTGGTATCTTCCGATGAACTTTTTTAGAAATAAGACAAGACGTTCTTTGACATAACCTTGGTTCATCAACTTTCTGCTCATACACTGGTGACGTTTTGTAAGACCTGAGTAGCAGCTGCAAGCTCTTGAATACCGAATGAGTTGGGAAATGTATATCACATATGACGGTGAAGTTGGTATATTGCTGCTAAGGTGGGAAACATTGATAATTATAATCGTCTCGTTTGTGATAGGTTATAGCACTGAGATGACCGTTAAGGTCAAATTATAAAAGTTTGTTGATAACTAATTAGTGAATGGTTTAAGATTAAAAAGGGAAATAGTATTGAGTAAAAAATTACCGGATCTTAACAAATAATAATACTTATTTTGATTTTCTATTAGATAAGAAATCTAAACAATTATGAATATGAATAAGTCATCTAAACTATAAAGATATGTAATATTTACCTCGACTATGGGCGATGACAAACTA